CAAAAAAATATTTAATTTTAATTTAATAAAATTCAATATCAAATTAAGAATTGTTAGTATCTTGTTGTTGTCTCTAGCTTTAAACTACTTTTAATATTTCTCAAATAAAAAAAAATGAAAAATTGAACTTAATTTTAGAACACCTAAATTTAAAACAGAATATGCTACGAGATAAACATAACCGATCTATCGCAATAATATTTTTTTTATTATATTATAAGGTGTCAAACGAGCAAGTGGCCAGTTCACTGATATAGCGAAGCGACCGTTGTCCGTGATAATCCGCAATTGCAGATGCGTGTTACATAATAACTCGGTTATAAGTAAACATTAATTGCGTATTTAATAAATTCTAAGCAAATAAATAAACCTAAGAATATGATTAAACAATCGCTTGTATCGATAAGATCAACCTCATTCAGACCCTCAGTAAATTGACACCACTGAAAATAAACAGATACCAAAGCCCGTAGAGAAAGTACGATAAATTTCATTAAGCATTTATAAACTCCACAAATGTCAATATAAATTTATATCAAAATAAATAAACAACATAGCCTGGTTTGGACATGCTGAGGGATGATGATGATATAAGCAAAAAGTAATGAGATTGAATAGGAATGGCTACAAGGAAGACCAAAAAAAGTATGGAATGACTGTGTAAGAGGATATGCGTAAGAAGGGAGTAGACTCGGATATGACGGCTGATAGAGATCTATGGAGGAGTAGTACATACTGTGCCGACCCACGATAGGGATAAGGGCAGGTTGATGATGATGATGAGCATTTTATTAAACTAGTTGTCGCCCGCGACTCCGTACGTGCGGAATTAAAAGAAACATAATAAGCAGGCTATGTGTTCTTCCAGACTGTGTTCCACATGTGAGGCAAATTTCATCGAAATCTGTTCAGACGTTCTGGAGATCCCTTTAAACAAATATCCATCCATCCATTTGATGATAACATTGTATATACAAAGTATTTAGTTTAGTAAAATTTGTTAAGTTAGGCTTCAATGAATATCGCACGGATTAAACACTTTTTTTTGATGACAATAAGCAAGCGGTTACCAGTATTCGCCAAAATAGCGAAGTGGCCGTTGCCCATAGACATCCATATTTACAGATATGCTGCCTACATTTAATTAACAGAGGAGGGGAAGCACAGAAAAAGGACAATTCCATTCACCTTCTCTTCCTATCTTGTACGAAAAGAGTGTAAAGGAGAATAGAATTTAAATATAGCCCTCGACTGGTTAATCATTGTAACAAGGTCACATTAAGCCATCATAATTCCTATTTAATTAATAAATATATGCACCTTATATCTGATATGTAATTATTTCCATTCGTAATAAATAATGTGTATTGTGCAATAAAGAAAAATATGGAAACAAGAGAACGCGCAGTGTGTAATCAGAACAAATTTATCGCGCGTCTGGTTTACCTCGCCTTTGTTGAAGACCAAAGTTTTTACAAAGCTGAAAAGATGCGCTACTCTATAAATAGGATTTAAGTAAGCAACGAAAATAAAAGTTTATGAACAAGTATTTTCATATAAATAGCTCATGAGGTAAGAAGTTAAATATCTAAATGAAAATATGAAAGAAATTAATACGTAATACTAAAATTATAAATGCAAATGTATGGATGGATGTTGAACATAGTCTTGAAAAATATAGGCTAATATTTTTTAACAAAGACGGAATCGCGGGCAACAGCTAGTTTATTAATAAATTAGGAAAAGTAAATTAAACAAACAATAAAAGACCTACTACACCATGGAATAACTAAACAACTTGTCTGTATTGTATGTACGTGAGTGTATACATTTTTAATGTTACTAATATTAAAAATGCTAATTTGGATGTATGTTTGTTACTACTATCAGAACGGCTCAAACATCTCGCTGAAATGATTATGAACTGATATATAAACACGGCTAAACACTCACGTATATACGTCCGGTGGCGGCACCGACTAGTTTCAAGCCCATCGGGGACCCTTCATCAGGATGAGTGGCACTGGTATTATTTCACACTTCATATTTCACACTGGTATTATCTCTCATGTCGTAGGACAAGAACCACTTTGGGTCGATGCGCCAGCTGAGTAAGTATGAAACAATGTAAGCCCACGGTATTACTAGAAGTATAATAAGGTAACTGTGCCTTAATAAATTTACTCTACTTCAAAAATTGTTGAAGGTTCATAAAGTATACAATTCTTCTGTACAGGACACATAATCTCAACAATAATTAATCGACGTCCTCAAAAAAACAATAGAACACTCGTAAAATTTAAGCCAACGTGAATCTTATTTTTATAGCACCAAAGTTCAGATTAGAATAATTTCCATTAAATAAAGTCATCTTTATTGGTCCTAAACATTTTTAATGTTCGAAGTTTTATTTTATTCTTCGGCAGGAAAATTAATTTTACGGCATTATATTATTTTTAATGCAGAAAATAATTAGCAATGTTCAGGGTTTGTTTTTCATTGTTTATATAATAGTTTGAAATTTTAAACTACCATTAGACGCTTCCTGTATATTAAAGACTTTTCTGGGCCGTTTTTGGATGTATTTCACGAAATGTCAACTAAAAATATCTTTTTTTTTAGCTTTTTATATCTTTATATGAAAAAAACTACTTACAGCATCTAAAGTTCTTACTAATTTTATAAATGCGAATGTTTAGATGGGATGGATGGAAGTTTGAAAATATCTCCAGAGCTGCACGGATTGCTGAAATTTGGCATAGACGTATAGACAGTCTAGAAGAACACTTAGGCTACTAAAGTATTTTTAATAACGCGCACACGTCACGGACGACAGCTATCTTTAAATAAAATTCAAAATTATACTGATATTAATATTTTCATGCTCCGATGTTAAGCGATTTCGGTAGTAAGAGGATGTTCAATTGACAAAATAATCTCATTACATCAGTGGCGTGAGAGGAAAATTGTCCCTTTATCGCGTTATTACGGCTTTTGTCACGTAAGTATTTATATCATGAAGCAAGGCATCATAAAATTTTGGTAATAAAAATCGTCTTGGGACGCAATGATCGTGGAGAGTCGCACCTATATTTTAGGAATAGCTTTATCAATAAATACCTGGATTTAGTCGAATTTATTTTAAACATTACTCGATTTTCTTTTGTTTTTATTGAAAAATTGCTATATTATTTGAACTTGACTACAATGTTTCTTGTTTCCATTTGAACTAAGTTTTAGGCTTTTGGTAGAATATTCACGATAGTCGACGTTGGTGGGATTCGGACCCATGATTGAGTGATTCTAAGTCCGCCATCTTTACCATTGGACTGTTGGCGCTACTATTTGTCTCTTATTCAACTCCAATTTACTGGTACTTTTTAATTTTATGTTATTTAATTTAAATAGTGTTATCAAAATAAAGTTTATGTCATACAATTGTGCTTTTGAACATTGCATCATTTAAATGAAGAAATAAAAATAACTCTTTCGCCATTTATTAAAATAAATTCAAACAAAACGTACGATTTACATTTAAAGTAAAGCTAACAAATCCAAATAATCTTTATGAGATTATCCTTTGCTTTGTTGTCGGAGACCACGAGGAATCTGGTATTATATTCTTTGACTAGAATAAGGGATGTATTCAAATAAATATATTTATATATTTGTCAAAGTATTATTAAAAGTTTGACGGCCGATTTCAAAGTCAAAAAGTGTTCGCTGAGTCTTGTGAAGATTTGAGATATAATAATCGCTATTTATTTCTCTTCAAGTAGAATTTTACCCCGTTCAATAAAAAGAGCTTACTATATAACTACAATTTGTGAAAACTTAACTAACTGAGTCGTATTTAACCAGAATAAAACAACTAACGCCCGTATCCCAGAGGGATGGGCAGAGATTTGTAGCAAAAAAAAATCTTTGAAAAATATTTGTTGTTCCTTAACTAGAAATAACTGTATTTAAGGAGCTTCCTTTACATTTAATTTCATAATTATTTGTGAAGAAAAATAGATTTAATTATATTATAAATAAACAAGCAACGTTTATAGTTTTTAAATGTTTTTTTTTTCTAAAAGCTAATGTCAAATTCTATGTGTTAGTTTTACATTACATTAAGGTAAAAATACTGGCCAGTTACAAATAAGAAATATGACCTTTTTATTAACAGACATTTTCTGGCGGAACTATTTTTATATAGCAATAAAAATGTAACGTCTATGTAAATTACTTTCACGATAAAACCGAGTTTGAAAAACTGCTGCGGACTTTCAGTTCACAATTATATATCTTTTTTGCATTGTACCGTTGCTTTCTACTAACATTTATATAAACTCACGTTCAGTTGAATGCACAGAAATAACATTTTCATTTTTAACTAAAATGAAAATATCTTCTTGCATATAAAATATGCAATTTATATAAACAATAAACTTGACTGACTCCAATATTCAATATATCTAAATAATTTAATCTATACATTTATACATTTTCAATAGAATATTATATTACTTTTTAATGAAATATATTTTCAAGTCAGTTCAGTAGTTTTTGAGTTTATTTTGAACAATTAAAGGAAAGGAAGGAATTTACTATTAGTATAAACATTTTAACGATGTCTAATAGGAGAATATAGCCGGCTTAAGGTACTCTTTCTTTGGCCCGCACCGGACACACCGTAACACGGCCCGCAACGGATTTGATTTGCTTCGTATGACTAGATAGCACTGCGTTTATCATCCGCGCCGACCGCATCGCAGCAAGACAAAGCAAATACGTGCGTACGGTGCGTCCGGTGCGGGCCAATGTACACTGTCCTTCAGTTATTATCTCTTGGGTCTCTACCATTCCCTTTACTTCATTATATATATGTTATCTGTAGCATCTCTACATGAGCAAAAGAAGAGAGACAAGCGAAATGATGTCAGATTCATGGTCAAAAGTGTTATGAATTTATATATATATTTCTTGTTTTTAAATAGTTATCATTGTTACAGGTAATATGAACAATGGACACCTACAACGAAAGCCTCGAACTGAACAATTCAGAACCTTACCAGCCGTACTACGAGAGACCTGAAACGTATATAGTTCCGCTAATATTTGCACTGATCTTTGTTATCGGAGTAGTCGGTAATGGGACATTAGTTGCTGTATTTATTAGACATAAAGCTATGAGGAATGTTCCTAACACGTAAGTAACTCTTTCTCGGTATATTTATGGTAATTAATTGATCACTAAGCATGAGAAATTTTACTAATATTATAAATGCGTAAGTTTAGATGGATGTTTGTTTGAAGGTATCTCAAGAACGGCTGAACGGATCTCGATAAAATTTGGCATAGGTGTAGAACATAGTCTGATAGAAAACAAAGGCTAATTTTCTTAATTCCGTGCAGACGGAGTCGCAGGCGACAGCTAGTCTATTCATAAATATTATTAAATAATTACAGGATTTCTTACTTGGCTGACCTTTTAATTTCTGGATAAGATGTATATTATATTTCTTGTATGATTCAAATGCACAAGTTAGCGCAACATATTTATGTATATTTGATATACTGTAGTTAATAAAAGCGTGTAGAAATAAAGTGAGTAAACGTTCCTACATTTCAAATACGTGTACAATTTAGCTAAAATGGCAAACTATCGAATTATTGAGTTCTGCAAATCACAATTTAAATTGTTGCCGATTTAAACCTGCGCCATATGCGAGACAATTCGGAGCGTTTATTTGTTGATATTTCGTGTCGATATTATTTGCAATAACGTAAAATGAAAATTTGTTGAAACTAACTTTGTTGAACTGATTCACATTTCTAGCTATTATCTTCTTTTATTAAAGTTTAAGAAACTCTATGTTTATTTGTTTTATTAATTGTACTTCCAAGTACTTTCAATTAGAGCGTCGATGGCTCAGGAGTTAAACAGAATTGTAATCTGCAACCTGCGTTCGAATTCATGTGCACCAATATGTTTTCCAATTTACATATGTACATATATCCAACGTTCTTAAGTTGAATGTTAATATTGTAATGTATCCTGCACGTATCTGCGAAAAAATCAAAGATATGTTAAAATTCACCCCGCACTTGGACAGCGTGGTTAACTATGGTCAACTGACTAAATTAGTGTAGACTCCGAGCCCCTCAGTGGAGACGTATAGTGAGCTGATGATGACTTTCAATTATTTTTTTTCCACAGGTACATATTATCTCTAGCATTAGCTGATCTCCTGGTCATCATCACTTGCGTGCCCTTCACATCGATCGTGTACACACTGGAGTCATGGCCGTGGGGTTCCACTGTCTGTCGAGTCTCTGAAGCAGCTAAGGACGTGAGCATCGGAGTCTCCGTGTTTACTTTGACCGCGTTATCTGCAGATAGATATTTCGCTATTGTAGATCCACTGAGAAAACTTCATGCTACAGGTTAGTTACATATTTATATTTAAAAACATTAGCTGCATATTATATTTATAGAATCGAACCGTGGAGCAGTTTGTAGATAAGATGACCTTTTTGTCATATGGGCATATGAGCAAGCGGTGACTTGTATTCCTTTTTTTTTCAAAGGGGAATGCTTTATGCATACTCCGCGCCCCGGGGGGACGCGGTAATCATGTGGGATTCTCTTCCGAATGGGAAGCATACCCACTAAACCCCTCTGTTCCTCCTACGCATCATGGCGAGGCCACGGGCACGCTTGCGCTTTCGTCCGCGACCTCGCCTGCGTCAGCTGCCGAAGCAGCTCCCACTATGGGGGAGGGCCTACCTTTAGCCTTGTGTGACTTGTATTCCTGCTTTTCTTATTCTTATTCCTTACAGTGACTTGTATTCCTGCCCTTTGTATGCCCATAGACAACGGCAATTGCAGATACGTTGACTATCTTTAATTCAGATTCGCAGACTCTTAACCATAGACTATTCAATTCGATTCAATCTCTAATTGCCAACTTAATGGTTGTTTTCTGTTCTGTAAATAAACAGTCAATGTTTAGAGACCTGTTGTTTTGCACATCGCTAGAAATTCAAAATCGTTAATATCGCTTTGTTCTTGCATTTGTTTCCTTCTCAATCGTTTGCCATATAAAGCTTTTACGAAGCATTACCGTAAATACAATTTGGATAAATCCATAACATGATATGCAAGTCATGTCTTATTATACGCATTTTCCCCAAACTATTGAACTCGTACTTTTTTCACTTACCGAGTATTTATAGATCAATAAGTGCTCGTAGCACTCAAAAGGAGAATTCAAATAAATATTTTTTTTTTCTATCTCAATTGCGCAAGGGCATGAAATTCCCCATCGCTTACTCATATGTTTCAATCGAAAAGCGTATCTAGAGGCTGTTCGTATTTCTAAATTATTGACTTTTAAATCGACGATAGATATTTTTACATGATACGATATTTTTCACACCTCTTAGGTTATTACTCAGGGGATCAAAGGTTAACTGGCTCTGATTTTTCAATGTCATGACAAACGAGGTGTTCGACATCCATCATATAATTTTATAAAGTAAAAATATCTTCAGATTTAATTTTTTAAAGGCATATATGTATGATAGCTATCGCCCGCGTCTCCGTCCGCACGGAATTAAAAAGAACTTAATAAATATCCTATGTATTCTTCTAGATCTATGCCAAATTACAGCTAGATCCATCGAGCTATTCCGGAGATACCTACAAAAAAACATATATTAATCCATCCGTGCATGCATTCATCTAAACATTCGCATTTATAACATTAGTAAGAAGTAAGATAATTTGTATAGCAATTGTGTTTAACAGTAGTCTTAATTGAAGGACAACCATACTGTATTATTTTCTTCGTTTTTTTGTGCAAAAAAGCCAATGATAAATAATTTACCGATTTAACCGTCCTTATTTAGTTTATAGCTAACAATAATTCTGTGAGTTTCCTTGCTATTGAGGTTGATGGGTCATAGTGGTTACTGGACATCAAAAGAATAAACTCGTTTGTTATATTTTATACTCTAAATACCACAATAAAGTAATTTCTTAATTGTTTCATAAAACAAATGTGTTTTAATAAAAAGAGGAAAAGTGAACAAAGCAAATGCCTATCTTGTTATTGCAATAAATCCTAAAATAAACGCACTCACGATGCCAACGGTGCCAGATGACCGCTCTTAACTCTTAACACAAACATCGAGTCGATAACTAGTGTTGTCTTCTATCGACAAAATGAAAATAAAACTGTCGATAAACAGAATACAATCAACACAGCACTGTTTTTGTTGGCTGATGATCAACGTTTTGATACGTCCGCGCGCTTTGCAGATGTTCTTACCTATTCGATATGTGTCTATTTCCGTAAACATTGCTGATTGAGAAATCATCACGGTGTACAGGAAATTCTACTTCGCAACTATTGTAATACAACATTGTTCTAATATTTACATAAACCCTGATGATTGGTGTATAGATAGCTGTCGGCCGAGACTGTCTGCGCGGGATTAAACAAAAAACTTAAGTAGTATTCTATGTCTTCTTCCAAACTATGTTCTACATCAATGCCAAATTTCAGCGAGATCTATGCAGCTGTTCCGGAGATACCGTCAAAGATCAATCCATCCATCTAAATATTCGCATTTATAATATTAGTAAGAAGTAAGATAACTTTGAGACAAGGTAAAGTAGAGCACAATCAATGATTTGCCAGAATCCATTTTACGTTTAATCTACTAACTACGAGGATGTTGGTTAAAATTTAACACAAATGTACAAACTAAATAATATTTAGTAGTAACTAATTATTTAGTCTATGGTTACCATTCCCTTTCCTTTTTATATATGTAAACAAATCTTAATTCTTACTAAAATTATAAATGCGAAAGTTTAGATGGATGAACGGATGGATGGATGTTAGAAGGTAACGCCAGAACAGCACAACGGATATTGATGATTGTTTTTTAATTGCGAGTTGCGGTCGAGACTACTAATATATTTTAATGCAATTATTTTGGCAGTGGATTTTGTTCGTAAGAGTATTTCATGAAAGAAATGACGTAAGTTTTACGTGACCTTAATCAGAACTCATATTAAGGTTATGCTTTTTAATGAGGTCTTGGTTTTCTAAATTATTTTGTACGGCAATGATTTCTTTAAATCTGCAGTTAAATCGCCTATAAAATGTTTGCACGTACAAAGTAAATCAAACCAAAGATAATTATTTTTTTCTAACTAATAGTTTGATTAAACTGAGGTGTTTTTAAACTCGGTTATAGATCAATCAAGGATGTTTTAATATCGCAAACAGATAAATATTTACATGGCGGCGAGCGTACAGTTGCTAAATGTATCGATTAAATTATTATATTTCCGTCTGCGATATAAAGTTTTTATTTTTTAACCACAAAACATGATCTGCTTCAATTTCTATAGACTACAGCTTAGAAAGTTCTATGTTGAATGTTCGTCTTGTCTCAAGAATTTTTTAGACTTTTTTACGCTTTTTCAAATATGGTTTTTTGTATGGCTTTTGTCATTTCATAAAAAAAATAATTTATATTCGTTGCGAACCCAATCGAAAATCGAAGTAATGCTAATTGCTAACTATACATTTAGTGACAAAGTTTACGAAATAATAAACTTTATACGTGTTTAGTTAGCAAAACAAACAAATGTCTAACCTCGGAATATTTCCAAACCAATACGACTTAGGAACCTTCAAGAAGCGAGCATACCATTTCCTTAAAGGCCGGCAACGCATTTACAGTTCCTCTGACGTTGCAGATGTCCACGGGTGTCGTTGATCACCTCGGTGTTCCCGCCGCTCGTTTGCCCCCTTCTCTTATAAAAAAAATCAACTTCAATGTAAATCACACTAAACACTACGTTACCCGGAAACGTAAAATGAGAAAGAATAACGCAAAAACGAAATATAGTTATAGTTATAACAACTTCATTGAAAATCTAAGTAAATAGATACACGTATTGAAAAGCATATAAATTATAACTGTGCTAGATAACGCGCTTATACTTATTGCCTTAAAATATTTATATATATCTGCATAATGTACTAGGAATGCATGCCAAGTGCAAAGCTGTTCTAATTTATGATTTATTTCCATTCTGTAGATAGAATTTGCAACGACGCCATTACGGTTTTGACGTCCATCATGAGAACATCAAATATTATCGATAGGTATAATTTTACTATAAACATACATAGAACATAGATTTGCTATAGAAAAGACTGCGAGGTTCCATCCACACTATCTCGATGGCTGGCAATCCACAACTATCCGTTTTTGGCGGTATTTTCTAATGGTCTGTTCTCTGCGGTATTTCTAAAACTCTACGTCTTAGGGTCCTTCAAGAAGCCAGTGTATCTTCATCTTAGAGGCAGACAACGCTTCTGCACTTCTTCAACGGTATTGCAGATGTCCATGGAAGTCAATTAACACAAGCATTATTACCAAAACTCTAGTCAGTGCTACAAGATCGTACTAGTACGGTGTACATAAATAATTGCGTCATCAAATCGACCTTACACAATCATTCAAGAGGAAAAATTCATGTAGCTTATCTACAAATGAAGAGACTCTGTGTATGATTTCTAATAGAAACCTAGCTTACATACTATAATCGTGAATAATAACTGCAATGTACTAAAAACTTAATTTCACAATACGAAATTAAAAAGTTACCATTACGCAACCAGTAAAAATTCGTTTACACAGTTTGCCACAACGGGTACTGGCAATAAAAATCCGCTATAAAACTCTAGGCGTATCTTTTTTAAAACTGACGTTGTTATTGTATCGAAGTTTACTACGCTATTCTATGACAAAGATAGCAGTGCTACGTTTTACCACTTCCTTATTTGTATACGAAAGGTTGGAAAAGGCATAGAAATAGCATAAAGCAAATGTTTATAGCTTTTACTAGCAATATTTTTACACGCCCTCTAGTGTATTGAATTGGAACTAATTTTTATTTGATTTATAACGATTATAGCTAGACAAAGTGCATTCGCTTCGAAGCGATACCATTGCATACTTCAAAAATGTATGAATCTGACGAGCCATCATCTTACATATAAAATTCTCGTGTCACAATTTTCGTTCCCATATTCCTCCGAAATGGCTTGACCGATTCTCATGAAATTTTGTGAGCATATTGAGTAGCTCTGAGAATCGGCCAACATCTATTTTTCATCCCCTTAAATGTTAAGGGTAGTCCACCCCTATTTTTTTATTTTTTAAACAAACACACGACAAATATATGTTCTTCTAAAATATATGTGACTAGCTGTCGCGGGCGACAGCCAGTCACATATACTTTAGAAGTTCGTTATGGAATCGCTTTGCTCTTTCTACAGATTGGTGTCAAAGCGACAGCAAAAGACAATCTACTGCTGTATCAAATATTTATTCTTTTTAACTTTGATTTTTATACGACTTCAAAAAGGAGGAAATTATCAATTATACTGTTTTATGTGTGTTGCCACGTAACTTACGCTCCTGGTGCTCCGATTTTGTTTTTTTTTTTCGAAAAAGATCGTATTCGCTTTGCACATATTTCTTGTGCAGATTTTCCGAGAATTTAAACCTATGGTTATTTTTGTTAATAATACAAGCATCTTGTCAGTGAATTAATCGTTCTAAACGTCATTTATAATTAATGTTAGTTGGACACGAGTTTTAATTAATATAATATAAAAATAAATTATTTATTTATTTTATTTATTCTCGCATTTATTGAAGTTTTTATCTGGAATGTATTGGATGGCTTTAAATCTTTTCATTACTTATTTCATTTGATAGTATTGATTAACGTTTCAATCTTCCGTTCGCTTGGCATTCCACAAGATTTATGATTTTCTAATTTGCATATGAAAGACGAGGTCGGAGCGTCTACTTATGTTATATTCGAGAAAGCTTTTTAAGGTCGTTGCATTAATCAAATCTTTTGCACTACCCCTTGCTTTTTGATATATATTTTTGTTAAATCGTTTACTGGAATTCAGATATCCTTTCTTCCTTCTTCGCTTGCTCAAAGCACGGCATTTTGGGGTTCCGTACTTAGGAAATAAAAATGGAACCCTAATAGCATCACTTTGCTATCCGTCCGTCTGTCTGTCAAGACTCTTTTTATCAGGAACGCGTGCAGTATCAAGAAATTTATATCAAATACTCTGGTCTACTGTCCCTTGCTGTGAAAAAATCAAGCTTCTTATTCAACGCAATCAATCGCTTTTATGCCCCATATCACCGCACATTTTCGACACTCGTAAGGCAATCAAAACCTACGGGGTACTTCCAGTAAACTCAAAGTCTTATAATTTGGTAAGAAGCAACGTTTTATAACACTTATATAAGAAAAAATGCGAAACCCGTAAACCTTATTTATATACCTATATGTTTGTACGGAACACTGTTCGCGAGTCCGACTCGCACTTGGCCGGTTTTTTATTATATTTATTTGAGCCAACAATTTTCGTTTAGAAACCTCAAGTGACATATTAAATGAGACAATTACATTTCATTTCTTTCATAATTTCTAAGTCTATAATTACGAGTTGATTATAAAAGATTAAATCGATTGTGTCGTCAATTTTTTTTTTACTTGAAGGAAGCTTTTGTATATGTCAAGGCTATACGCGTTGTTTGTGGATCTATTATTCATAACAGCTAAAATACGGGTGAGTGTTTTCCTGAATGAGGTTTACTTACGTTTTAAAGGACAAAGAACGGATTTCCAACGTAATTTTGAATGTATTTTATGACGAAACTTGCTAACAAAGCATGTCTTTTACCCGGCTTTTTAATTTAGAAAAAAACAACTTTAATTGGATACCTACAACCATAAGCTTTGCCGAGCTTCAGCATCATCAGCTCATTATACGTCACCGAAGGGCTCGGAGCCTACCCTAAGTTAAGGGTGATTAGGCCATAGTCAACCACGCTGGCCAAGTGCGGGTTGGTTGACTTCACACATATATTTGAATTTCTTCTCAGATATGTGCAGGTTGCATTACGATGTTTTCCTTCACAGTAAGAACGTCGGATAAATGTACATATGTAAATCGGAAATCGAAAAACACATTGGTACATGGCGGGATTCGAACCCAGGACTTGCAGATTGCAAGTCAAGTACTTAACCCCTGAGCCACCGACACTTGCCCGCGCTTTGCCGAGCTAAATCTTACTTAAATACGAATGTTTAGATGGATGGATGTTTGTAAGAAGGTAACTCCAAAACCAATGCTAAACTAAATGTATCTCTCTCTAAATGTAATTTAGCACAGATGTAGAGCACAGTCTGTAAGAAGACAAAGGCTACTATGGCTTATAATTTCGCGAATTGGAGTCGCGGGTAATAGCTAGTTATTAATATTTTTAATCTACATCTACCTGATGTTAGAACATCAGGTAGATGTAGATTATTATAGATATAGACAGCGACCGGACAACTTGATATATCATCATATGTTCTGTTATTAAATAAAAACTTCAAATCGATCTTGAGGATAATGCTGGCCGAAATACATAATGAACGCATGATTATTACTTATCATAAAAAAAAAGTATTTGTAACACAAAGACATCAAACCTATTATACGTGACGTCTTAAAGACTTAAACGAAATACATTTATTAAAAGTTTACATAAATTTTTCAGTTTTTAATTTTTAAATGGCAAACAAAATGTAATTTATCAACGTAACACAATACACGAATTACTCAAGTCGAGTTTCTTTTTAAGTTTGGCAAAGGACAAATTATCTTAGACATAGACCTTTTTAAAAACAAAAAAATACATTCTTTAATATTACTATTAAATTACGATTTTTTACAAGTTAAAAAGCTAATAAAGACTTGATAAAAATTGAAAGTAAAATAACAAAAGCTAAACTATTTTTTTTTGGAATCTATACAACTAACTATAAAATGGCAAAGAATATATGCTATCATTACGACAGATGTGTAATGGACCTTATAATATAACATAATTATAAGGGAGGGGTAGGCAGAGATTATAGATTTTCACACAACGCGACATCTATCTGGCTTCTAATACCATGTCAATATTAAATTGCAGGCGCTCATAATGTTAGCTTACTTCTTACTAATATCATAAATGCAAATGTTTAGATGGATGGATGTTTGTTTGAAGGTATCTTAAGAACGACTATATGGATCTCGCTGGAATTTGGCATAAATGTAGAACGTACACTGGACGAACACATAGGCTACTTATTAAGTATTTTTTTTAATTCAGCGCGAACGGAATCGTGGTCGTCAGCTACTTACTTAATAAATATTAAAGTATTAAGAACTTTATATAATAACGTTAGCGGTTTTTTTTAAATATGCTTTATTTTAAAAAAGCAATACATTTATTTGATATCAAAATAATATTGTACATATTGTAGGTCTATCTGAATACATACTATTACGTAAAAAAATCGAATCTGATTTACGACCTTCGATGTATTTTTACAACGAAGATGGATTGACCTTTAATCCTTGTATTCATCCTTAGTATGATCGAAGCATTTGAATAAATATATAATAAGAATAAATAAATTATACAAAAAAAAAATTAAAATGAAATTTGTATGAAAGTTTTTTATTTAATTCTTATTAACTACAGGGTGATTATGACTAAGTACACATTGGTTCTAAAGGTCAGGATTTGTTATACACGCTGTACCAATGACTCTCAATACACGAGTAATATTTTTATGCATTACTAGCTACCGCGACTCCGTCCGCGCCGGTTAAAAAAATAGATACCGATTCTCAGACCCACTGAATATGTCCATATAATTTCAAAAAAAACGCTCAAGTCGATTCGAAGGAGTGTGGTAACAAACATTGTTAAGAATTTTACATATAAGGACATTAGGACATTTCATTATTTTAACGTTTTCAAAAGTAATTTAACAAATTGTACTCGCATTATTATAATGACTGAGTTTTAATTACGTTTATTAACACAAGTTTTTTTTGGAATAGGTGGCAGCAAGCGTGCAACACGTCTTACGGTGGCGACTGCTATCGGCATTTGGATATTGGCAGCGGTTCTTGCTGCTCCTGCCTACATCGGATCGTATCTACGAGCATTTGTTGTCAACCCTACTACACAGGTAATAAAGTATACAAAATACTAATCTAGTGGAATAATTAAATTACATCTTAACTATTAATTCAAACTCACTAATATTATAAATGAGAATGTTTAGATGGATGTTTGTTTGAAGGTATCTCCAGAACAGCTGAACAGCTCGATTAAATTTGGCATACATGTAGAACATAGCCGGGAAGAACATATAGGCTACTAATTAACTGTTTAAAAATAAAAAAATCAAGCGAACTTACAACCTTTTCAAAGCCCTACAAAGTATCTATTATTGCTTTGTTGTTATGGATGACTATGGTCGTCTTTATAATATTTTTTTACACTAAGGATTGGTTGCCGTTATCATATAAAAAAAAAGAAAAACGTGAAGTGTACTTATGTCATCATCATCATCATACTCAGTCTAAACTTGTCCACTGCTGGACGTAGGCCTCCTCCATCGATTGCCACAATGCCTGGTCCTGGTCATGTACATATACTTATTCCAGATAAGAAAATTCTCCGTCACAGATTATCACACTTTAGATCACACAAATTAAGTAGAATGTAAACATAAGTGACGATTAAAGTAACCCAGTAACAGTGCATGACAGATAAACTCTACAAATAAAATAGGATTAATTAGTTGTAGGATCCAATGAGATTAGTTGACCTTTCTCCATGCGGTTAATATAGTTGGATCTGTCTGTCTGTGATTAGATCACCAACATTCTTGAGCTAAATTGTGTTTTAAAATAGTAGAAATTATCATGTAAACTTAATGGTATTATTATCGTTAACCCATTAGTGCATTACGTTCGATAAATCGGGCGCCAATAAAATTGTTATTTTAGGAGTTATATATATTTTACTAACCGTTTATTTTTTTAAACAGTAGTGTAATATATATTTGAAGTGGTAATACTGTTGGTATGACATTCCGGGAAGCTATTTATCGGACGGGCTTTAAATCTAAACTTTCATATTGATTAAATATTTTATACAATTTAATGGTCAAATACACTCGGAATGAAAACATATTACAGTGGTCATAATGAAAGGGCGTTAATAAACTTAATGCACTAATGGGTTGAAATGTTATTTAACCTTGAGACATGTGAATATTTATTTTGTATCCATAAATTCAAAACTATCATGAGCTCATTATATGTCTCCACTAAGGAGCTCATTCGTCCCTTAAGTTAGGGATGACTAGGCCATAGTCAACCACGCTGGATCACTGCGTGTTGGTTGACTTCACACATATCTTTGAATTTCTTCTCAGTTATGTGCAGGTTGTATCAGGATGTTTTTCCTTCACCGTAAGAATGTCGGATAAACGTATATATGTAAATCGACAATTGAAAAACACATTGGTGCATAGCGGGATTCGAACACAAGACCTGCAGATTACAAGTCAACCTGACTGTACCCCTGAGCCAAAAAAATGAGTTACAATATGGTTAAAATTAATTTGTTGCTTTCTTTCAAAATTACTGTGTTTCATTGTTTTAGATTTCTTTTGTTTGCTCTATTTACTTTTGTTTACAATTGATGTATAATTATTTTGTTACAGTTCCTAGTCTGTTATCCGTACCCACCAGAATGGGGAGAGAATTATCCCAAAACAATGGTACTCGTACGATTCCTGGTGTATTATTCTTTACCATTGGCTGTTATTGCATTATTTTACATACTAATGGCGCGACATCTAGTGCTCAGTACGCAAAACATGCCTGGTGAAATGCAAGGGACACAAAGACAGGTATTATAAACACATATAAATTAATTTAGACTCATCATCGCTATACGTTCCCACTGAGTGGCTCGAAGCCTACCCTAAACCATTGGTGACTTGGCCATAGTCAACAACGCTGGCTCAATGCGTGTTGACTTCACACATATCGTCGCATCATGATTTCTTTTACCCCAAGAACGTAGAAAAAACATTGGTATATTGCGGGATTCGAACCTAGTATCTGCAGATTACAAGTCAAATGCTTAACCCCTGAACCACCGACACTCTAATGTAAATTACAATCACTAAAATTCCTAATTACCAACGTCTTTTTTAGTAATATTGTCCGACATCATCTCCTTGCTTTGTTCTAAATTGAGGCATCTTTATCAAAATCTCGTTATTATTGAAATTCTATCGCATATCCTCTTTTATACAATCCATCCATACTTCCTTCTTCCTCTACGCTTCTATCCAATCACGTTTCTCTTAACTGTCATTGTATGTAAAATCTGTAGGAATTTTTTAAGTAATTTTTTTAGTCCGTTGTAAAATAATTCATCTTTTGCAAGACGTTTTCTTTTCTTTATCAAGCAAATCGTTCATCTAAAGGTCAGACTCTACCGAGCCTCTTAAAGGCTCTAACAAGGTCTATAATTGATGTTCATTCAATTTCACACCTGTACCGGATTATCCGATAATTACTTGCATTGAATTTATACGAAAAATTGTCTGCTTTATTATTAATCTTTTGCTGCTATAATTTTTAGATGCGAGCTCGTCGGAAGGTTGCCTTAACAGTGTTGGCATTTGTTTTAGTCTTTGCAGCTTGTTTTCTGCCATCTCACGTTTTTATGATGTGGTTTTATTATTGGTAAGTATTACACGATTATCTTTTCTAGTGTTAAGTGCAGAATTACGTATCCGTACTCTTTGGTGGACATAGATGAAACATTTTGCCTAAAGGATACTGGCCACTGAGAATTGCCTTTTAGATTAAGAAAAATATAGCTGAAAAAAAATCGCGCGGAAAGTGTTAACGAGATGTATACACGTAGCACAGTTTTTGATCTGACTTTACGAGTTAAAAAAAGTTCTTAATCTAATAATTTCTGTCAATTTTAAAGCATATAAACTAGCGCTTGTTCACGGTCCCACGTGATGTTAAGCGATAATGTGGTTCAATGGTACTCGTTATTTGAGTCGCTATATAACAAATTATTTTACTATTTTTAATTATAACTATATTTTTATAACTAGTAATAATTGTTTAACTCAGTCCGACAGCGCAAGATGACTACAACGGTTGGTGGCATGCTCTACGCATAGTAGGATTCTGTCTATCATTTTTAAACAGCTGCGTGAATCCGATCGCATTGTACTGCACAAGTGGTATCTTTAGGAAACATTTTAATAGGTAAGTGACGTGAAAACTTGTATAACAGCTATCCCTCTCTTTACCTTTGAAAAAAAAGAGACAATAAAATGCCTTCACATGATACTGGATAATTTAATCCCAATGTATTTTTTACGACCAGGTATCTTCTATGTCGTTCTGGATCTACTCACGGCCCGAGAGGATCTATGTCTCTATCAACTTCTAGAAGATTACACTCCAGTAGGAAAACAAATATAAGCATGGTACCAACACGAACGTAAGTTATAACTGCTTTGATTCTGTAACCGTTGGTTTCTGAGACCACATTATCTGTAAAACATATCATCATACCTGTTATCTTTGACAAAATAGAGATAAAATATGTTTTAAACGGGGTTTTTGGTCTCAGAAACCAGTGATAAGTAATTTTTAGATTACATCGAACATATCAATGTCTTCTACGTGATACTTTTATTTTTAGGGTTCCGTACCTCATAGGAAAAAAACGGAACCCTTATAGGATCACTTTGTTGTCCGTCCGTCTTTCAAGACCCTTTTTTCCCAAAAACGCGTGGAGGTATCAAGCTGGAATTTATTTTATATAATCTCCAATTTATTAGTAATATGTTTCATATCTTACTATTTGGTTTTAATAAAAACTGGTCGAGCGATAATCAAGTCTAATACGATGACAACATATTAAATACATGCCTAAAACTTGAAAAAAGAGTCAATAGTTTTAGTCCACATTGCTAGATTTCAGAACATAAAAAACTATAAAAATTTCTTGCTACAGAACCAGTGTTGGTCGCGAGAGCAGCATTCGACTCTTAAACAACGGCTCATCGAAGCTCTGAGGAAGGTACAGGGGCTCGCGTAGCGCGGCCAACAACAACACAGAACGCACCAAAGAGAACTATAGCAAGTGTCTAGTGTATAAAGCCGACATTACAGCACCATTCCCTAAGTGTTGCGAAACTGAGAACGGCGTTAAACATGTTGAAACCAGATTGGACGGCAAGGATGTTAGTAGTACGGAAAGTTTCTATCTACCGGTCGATGGCACATATCGTTGATTCTATACCTTCCTTCCTTACGATTCTCAGATTTCTATGAGCATCGGTTATCTTAGTATACAGTCGAACCTGGATAATCAAGAATCCAAGGGAACGCGATATTTTACTCCCTTAAACATTCTTTCTTACTCGAGTTTTTCGCTTATGGAAGTCGTCTGTCGGATCCCAACGAAGACTTGCTTATAGAGATTTCTCGCTAATGCAGGTTTGACTTTATTAGCAAAATCAGTTGACTGAATGCTTATTTGCCATCTAATATAATATTGACTAATATGATAAAAGCTAGACATTCACAATTGTCTTAAACATATTGTTACATTGTAAAACTACTTTCTATGTCTCTGTGTAAAATATTTTTAGCGCAAAAATAAAAAGTCATTCGTCCCAGACAGCGTTATTTTGTAAAATTGTAAATATCTAGATTGTAAATCAAATTTACGTAATTTAATAATGTATAATAATATAATTAGATTTAAAATGCACTTATTTGTAACAAAACTATATCACTTTAAAAAATTTTATGTGTAATAAAATATTAAGTTAAAGCACTATCGTAGCCTACTCTTCTACTTGTCGGCGATGTCGCGGAGACCGAGGTCGCGACCGATGTATTTACAAAATAAATTTTTGTAATGTTCCGTTCAATGTTAGTATGTACATAACAAAAATAAACTTTCTACGATGTAAATAAAGCTATCATAAAATGAAATAAATAAATCCAAATGTATAACTGCGTTTCATTTCTTAATAATTTGCTGTCGCCCGCGACGCTGACCGCGCGGATTAAAAATCTTTAGTAGCATATGTGTTCTTCCAGACTATGACCTACATCCATGCCAAATTACAGCGAGACCAATTCAGCTGTTCTGGAGATACCTTCTAACAAACATCCATCCATGTAAACCATAAATCCATCCATGTATCCATCCACTAGATTAACTACTTATAAAAGCGAATGTTTGGATGCAATAATGGATGGATGTTTGTTACAAGACATCTCCGGAACAACTCAACGGATCTTGATGAAATATCAAACAGATGAAGAACATAGTCCTGAAAGAACGCATACATATTAAGTTTTGTTTTTAATACCGCGCGGACGAAGTCGCCAGCGACAGCTATACACTGATAAAACGTGACAAATATCAATTCAAAAATTATCTAACGATCGATGCTTCATATTGAATCAATATTGATTAAAAATAAAGCTATCTTGACAGAATATATATTATAACTTAACGACATCAGCTAGATAATTCTAAATGGCTAACGATTACAAAAGCTATGACTCATATTTTACATATATACTATAATAATCAACGTTACGTATGACGTTCAGTTTCGCGGTCATTTGGAAGACAAGGCCAAGCTGGCCTTCAAAAAACTGGGTGTGCTCAGCAGTGCGAAGCAGTATTTCCAACCGGGCCACCGCCTCCAGCTGTATAAGGCGCAAGTTCGGCACCACATGGAATACTGCTCGCATCTCTGGGCGGGAGCACCCCAGTACCAGCTTCTTCTATTTGACCGCATACAACGGAGAACGATTCGAATCGTCAACGACCGAGCTCTTACTGATAGGCTCGACACTCTGGCGCTGCGGAGGGACGTTAGTTCCCTCTGCATTTTGTACCGCATTTACCACGGGGAGTGCTCTGAAGAATTGTTTGGAACGATTCCTGCCGCCGAGTTCCGTCATCGGACGACACGACAGACCGCCAGGTTCCATCCACACCACCTGGATGTCTGGCATTTCACAACGGTGCGATTCTCGCGCAACTTCTTGCCTCGCACAACCGCGTTGTGGAACGGTCTGTCCTCGGCGGTATTTCCAAAGCAATACGACTTAGGGTCCTTCAAGAAGCGAGCCTATCACCACCTCAAAGGCCGGCAACGCATCTGCGGTTCCTCTGGTATTGCTGATGTCCATGGGCGTCGTTGAACCTCGGTGTTCCCGCTGCTCGTTTGCCCCCTTCTGTTATAAAAAAAAATATAACCTTCATAACACACACTATCTAATCTTCATAACACAATCTAATCTAATCTAATCTAATCTAATCTAATCTAATCTAATCTAATCTAATCTAATCTAATCTAATCTAATCTAATCTAATCTAATCTAATCTAATCTAATCTAATCTAATCTAATCTCATCTCATCTCATCTCATCGAAGCGAATCTAATCTAATCTAAACTAATCTCATCTAGTCAAGTCTAGTCTAGTCTAGTCTAGTCTAATCTAATCTAATCTAATCTGATCTAGTTTAGTCTAATCTCATCTCATCTAAACTCATCTCATCTCATCTCATCTCATCTCACCGAATCTAATCTAACCTAATCTAATCTAATCTAATCTAATCTAATCTAATCTAATCTAATCTAATCTAATCTAATCTAATCTAATCTAATCTAATCTAATCTAATCTAATCTAATCTAATCTAATCTAAT